AGGCTGCGATGCTTTGAAAGAAGGCAGGGCGGCTCAGTCCACAGTCAATTGGCAATGCTGACTTCTACTGCACAGAGATTACATCTTAGCTTGGAGGTCAACCCCAAGTCATTGAGAGAGGAAGCCCAAACTGACAGTCAAAGTCAAGTGATGGCGTGTGGCACCAGCTCACTAATTCTGGGAATAAAGGCTGTAAGCAGCTGCTGTTACTTTAAAAAAAAAAATCATTTTACTTATTAAAACATTTTCATTTCCCAAGGCACTTCAGTGGCTTTCATAAAAATATGGTGTGTGTTTTGTTTTTTTTAACCAGGTGAAGCACCTGCTTCAGGAATACCGTGATAAGCAGAAAACAGTCAATTAGAGAAAGTACAGAATACCTCCCAATATGGTCAGATAGCTGAAGCGAGCCTCTCGGAAGGGCTGGGAGCACAATTTAAGTTTCTTCAGTTGGATTTTTTGCATGGCCTCTGCACCCTGTCACTGAGTCTGTTCTGACTCACAGCGATCCTACAGGGAGTGGGGAGCAGAAGCGTTCCCCAGAGTTTGCAGGACAGGCAGCCTCATCGTTTTTTTCAGCAGAGTGGCTCGTAAGTACAAAGGTTTGGCAGCCGAGTCTTACCCCGCCGCACCACCATCACAAGAAGAACACGCATGATAAGTGTTGACCCTGGGGGAAGCGCGAGTGGCCATGACTGTCAAGCCCAAGATTTGCATGTATAAGTGGCAACCGCAGGCCCCTGACCGAGTGCTTCAGGGTTAAAAAGAAGGGACAACAGAAAAAGAGCTGCATGCCAGGCAGATAAGGAACCAGCCTTTCCCACATCCGTTCTGAAGGGCAAATAACTTAAGGAGGAAAGGTCAGCATAGAAACCAGGTGCACCACAGACACAACACGGCCAGTCCCGCTTTCCCGTGTGGCGAGGAGACACTCCTCTGCTGGTCTTCTTTGCTGCTGCTGCACTTCCGTCACACCAGACAGCGGTCACAGGAGCTAGGAGCTGGGACTTCACACAGTGGCCGAGAACAAGCACGGCTGAGTCGATGGTGCATTTCCAATGGGCTTGGACCAGCCCGGGGCTTTGATCAGACGTAAACAAGTCCACCCCGTGGGCATACCAAGTGTGCCTTGTACTCGAACGCCAGCGCACTTGGATCTGCTCGGTCCCCGCCGTCTGATTCTCCCCCGGGCCCCCCAGAGCCTGTGCTCCCGGGCCCAGGAGGCAATGCTCACAGTCAATGCCCTTTGAAGCTGAGCCAACATGAGAAATCAATTTCCCTACGAGAATAGCTCATGTCCTCTAAAGTGAGTTAGATCTAATGGGGAAAGGAAAAGGGGTGTGTGTGTGGGGGGGGGGAGGACGGGACTTGAGCTTCCAGTTTTATCAGTGGCCTCCTTCAGGCCATTTGAAGTTCAAATGCAATTTTAGCAGATACCTCCAGCATCTGCTCAAGTCCCACTGGTTCCAGTGGGAAGCGCCAAGTCCATTGTTGTAGTAGGTGGGACTTCTCTAAAGCCATGGTGGTGTCCCTGACGAGAAGGCAGTACGCTAGGGCCACGCCAGGTTCGGAGTCTGGGTGCCCAAGTAGGAACCGGTCAGAAGCAGGGCTGGCGGAATACGCAGAGACTGTGGCGGGCAGGACTCTGTGCCCACAGGTCGCTCTGACGGAAGCGGGGTCCTCTCCAGGCCCTCACTCTCTGGAGGTCCCTTAGAAAGCTGTGCTCTTAAGGATGGTGGGGCTTTCTTCCTCATCTTTTAACACCCTCGTGTGGCTTGGACTTTGCCTATATTTTATTCTGTAAAAACAAGCGAAACAAATGTTGGTTACAAATCTTAATAGAGACTTATCAGTCTTAAAGTAAATAAGTTGATTGCTTGACTGATTAGTACAACGGTTCTCAACCTGTGGGTCGCAACCCCTTTGGGGATCGAACGATCCTTTCACAGGGGTCGCCTAATACATCCTGTATATCAGATATTTACATTATGACTCCTAACAGTAGCAAAATGACAGTTATGAAGTAGCAACGAAAATCATTTTATGGTTGGGGGGGTCACCACAACATAAGGAACTGTATTAAAGGGTGGAGGCAGTAGGAAGGTGGAGAAGCACTGGATTAGTAAAACAAAACAAAGCCAAGGGTATTTTCACCAAGGGGGTGGTACAGATCACACAGGAAACTCTAAAACATTTTCCCTGTGTGCAGATCCAATGCTGCTGTGGAAACGTACATGGTGGCAGGTCCACACAAGAGCGGAGCAGAGAGGACAGGCTGTAAGGCACTTACAACCCTCTGGTGGATACACTAGTTGACGGTCTTTGTGAGTTTGAGGAGGACGCCACAGTGCTGGGCTCTGAAGCCCCGGCCAGGTCCAGTCTGGCCCCAGAGAGCTCTGTATGTGTCCACACTGTGAGGGAGGAAAGGGCCCTTCTTACCCTTTGACCCTGAGCATCTGCTCGATGGTGTCTGGGAGAGGGGTGTTGAAGCTCTCCGGGAGGAACAAGGTGAGGATGGCCGTCAGGATCGTCAGACTCCCCATGAGAATGTAGGGCAGGAAGCGGTCATAGGCACCTAGCACAAAGCAGGCGAGCCGGAGTCGGAGGGGGCCGTGACACTGGCCTTCTCTCCATCCCGTACACGTGTGTGTGTTGGGGGTGTCTCTGTAAAGCGGCTCACTAGGCTTCCTGGCCTCGGCAGCTGCCACAGGCTGAGCTGCTTGATTGGCATCTGGCACCAGACAGGCCCTACAACCCAGAGCTGGTACAGGCATGCCCCGAGGTTCAGCAGTGCCTCTGGTCCAGGAGAAGTACTGAGGTGAGGGGTGGGGCTGAGCCACAGGGAGCACGATTCCCTTTCCAAGGAACCCACGGATGGGAACCACCCCTCGGCCTCTCCAGGTGTTTCATGATCTGTTTAATTTGCCCCCAGGCTGTGCAGGTCCATGTTTCTGCTTGTCAGTGCTAGGCAGCATGCTGTGTTCACAAAGCACCCTGGGTACTCTCAGAGGAGGTGCCACCGCTCCCCACAGAGGTGCAGGGAAACAGAAGCTGCCAGGGTGGTCATCTTGTGAGGGAGAAAGCTGGCGCTCTGCGCAGAAGCTCCCCCAAGGGCGCTCTGTCTGCAGTATGAGCCCACGGGGGGCGGGGGATTGTTCAGCTAGAGCAATGCTCGGTTCAGCAGACTCTTGAGTGGACCTAGTCTCCTTTGTGTTCCCTTTAAACTCGTATTCCTGGTTTCCATTTCTCCAGCTAAGTAGATTGGCTTCCGACACCTCACTGCCGTTTCTTAGGATAAGTATTCTCGGATGGCTGGACCTCTCCCCACTCATGTCTAGCTAGTCTATGGTTTTCTATTCACAAGCACTTCTCCCAGAGTGCACCTGGCCTGGGCTGCCTCTCCAGTGTTGGCCGAGTCTCTGTCGGCAAGCTAGGTCCAGCTCCCACTAACGCCAGACCATGTTGCCACCCACTGTGCCTACGTGCCCAGGCCCGGGGCAGACACCTCTGCACATATGACTTACCCAGGTACACGAAATAAGGAGACAGGATGCTGCCCAGGCGGGACGCCATGGAGCTGACCCCCACGCCCATGTTTCTGACCACTGTGGGGTACAGCTCGGCAGTGTATACGTAGACCATGGAGAAGGCCGAGGTGATTCCAAACTTGCCCACCATCACCAGGACTGTCGTCAGGTAGTGCAGGTCTGGAGAAGCAAAGGAGAGCAAGCAGGAGTGGGTGCCCACCCAGCGTCCTCTGCCTGCCAGTCAGGATCCCTTTCTGCTTGCCGGCTTCCAACATACTGTGCGCCTGTCGCTCCTATAACCTCCTATTGCAAAGCAAGGGGCCACATCTGATGGACGACAAGGGTGTCTTCTAGGAATTCCACCCCTGCCACCACTCACCTGTGGGGAACTGGACGGTTCTCAATACAACATCCAGCTCGTGGCCAACGAGACCCTCCGTATCTGTGACCTGGGCCCAGCCTCTCTTCGGAGGAAGCCTCAGCTCTCACAGGTGCCTTCGTGCTCCTCAGACACATCATCTGGCCCCTTCCCTCTGCGGGGCTTTTACCGGTGTCACAGCATCGAAGCCTCCGCCCACCACCCTGCCTCAGACAGGCTGGCCCTCCCTGCTCTGTGGAGTCGCTACGAAGCATCTTTGTTTCTTTGGTTGCTGGACTGTGAGGCTCTGCCTCACTGGCTTCCTTCTGCTTCCTCAGCACCAGGCCCAGCGCCCAGCTCAGGGGAGCCATTCTGTCAGGATTCATATAGAGCCAATAGGGCCACAGGAATGTGGGTACAGGGTGAAATCAACCCATGGCTCCTCCCTCCTGCCCTCTGAAAAGAGTGTTTAGGTTTCAGGAGGTAATTTCTCTAGATTGATAGGCCAGGAGCATGTGGATGGGGGTGAGCCGTGGGAAGCACGGGTTGTGTTTACGCACTGGGGGAGACAGCCTGGTGGAGCCCAAAGCCACACGGTCCCTACCGGGGGGCACCAGCTGCAGGAAGAGAAGAACGCTGCCGCCCAGGAAGAGGGCGGTGGCCATGGAGTAGCGCCGGGGCAGATACTGCAGCAGCAGCCAGGCCACAATGTAGGCTGGAACTTCGACCACCGCTGAGAAGAAGCAGTTGAGGTAGATGTCTCCATGCAAATTAGGCGTGTCCAGGGAAAGCCCAAAGTAGCCCACGGAGATTGTCATCCTGGAACAGGACACAAGGGAACAAACGCTGGAAGCAATTTCCACACCCGCCCCACCTGGACAGTCTTCAGGAAATCCAACCCTCCTTACACAGGGGCAGGAGGGCAGCCGGAGAGCTAACCACACATCTTCTTAGGGACAAAAGAGCACGTCCCCCAGTCATGTACCCGTGTGCTTTCAGAGCCTCCCGCACAGAAGGTAGCCCTGCAGAAGAGGCTTTCATACCTCAGAGAGACTTGTCCCATTAAAAAAAAAATTCAAACCCGCCTCTTGGCTTTAAAATTTCTAGGCTGGGGCACTTACAGAAGCTGTCCCTGCCCCTCCCCTCCCCCCAGACCTCCTCATGACCAGCAAATGAAGAAGGATAGGATGGGTAAGGAGGCAGCTATTGGGCAGAGCCAAACACCTGGAGGAAATTACTTGGCAGACCATCCCCGGCGACGAGCCAACTCGTGCAGAAGGCCAGCATGGCCCCTCCCCTGCCCATTGCCCCTAGCCTGGGCCTGGTCCTCGCTGGCACTCTGTTGAGGGATTAGACTGAGTCTAATTGCACTATCTGCAGGGTGAAATAGCAGTTGGTGCCATCAGAGGGGGCAAGTGTGCGCAAACGCCTGGGGAATCCCAAGCAGCCTGGGCTCAGTGAGCCACACAGACTGCCAATCTGGGGTGCAGGCTGGACGCACACAGAACCTCTGGAGGGTGGGGCAAGGGGGTACTGCCCAGAGGGATCCTGGACTATTCCTTGGACATGGGTGGCTCAGAGTTGCCCCAGGAACGCAAATGGCTGCCTGCTCCAGCTTGGCTGAGTCTGGACACGGAGGGGAAGCCCGCCCTCCTCCCATTTTCTTGACTCACCCAGCAGACTCGGGCTCTGACCAGTAAACAACAGTTGTCCAGGCTTGTGGATGTGGCCCTTTCTTCTCTCTGGCCCTTCCTGACACAGGGTGAGACCCTTGTGAGCAGGACCCTGATGAGGGCGGCTGGCCCTGCCCCTGCCTTCAGGACAGTCTGAGGACAGAGCTCAGTCATGCCACCGGGTTTCCCGGAAGAACAGGCAGCCGCCCTAATCTGGGAGAAGCGGTGTCTCCACACTCAAGAGCCTCCCTAAAACATCATCTCTTCTCCTCAGCTACTGCTGGTGACTGGGCAGCAAGGGTGGGGCGAGCTGGACCCCAAGAAGCACAGATTTGCCTCAGACCTGGTGTGATCCCCAAAGACCCTGTATTCCTCCCCAAAGCCTGCACAGTGCTCTTCACGCTCCTCTGCCAAGGGCCCATCGAATTCAGAACTGTGGCACGACCATTTCTTCCACTGCAAGGCACACCTCCTTCCCTTCTGGACGTACCACAGCCTTTCAGTTTGTGGCTCGCTCGAGACTTATCTGCGAACAAAGAGGGCGGTCTGGAAGCCTCAGGCAGGTCTGACTTACGCACCACAGAATTATGGACATGATGGTGACCACACGGATATTCCGGGTTTGGAGCAGATCCAGAATGCTGTGTGACTCCTGCTTCTGAGAACTTAGGTCTTGTAACTGCAGGGAGACATAGCAAGCGGATAGGAGGGGGAGAGGTCAGAGACTATGTCGCGCATCCAGGCACAGGCCCGAACCCTGGGCTCTTAGCCTGCTGTGTCTGGGAGCTGGGGAGATTTGAGGGTTCCTCCTTGAAGAGAAGGACAGTGGTTGCCTCTGGGGCTGCTAAGGTCTCCCCAGGTCTAGCGGGTCGCGAAGCAGGGTGAGCATGTGTGTGGAGGGAAAGCAGGGGACCAGCCCCTGGGAGGCAGTGGTAGAGTCCAGGCTGACCCTCCTCCACTCCTTGTCAGTGGCCACATTCCAGGCAGGCCTCCAAGCATTCCTTCCCAGGCTGGCTCCCTGCCCTCTGGGTCAGAGAGGGCCTTTGTTTTTGAATCTGATATGTCAAAAGAATTCATGTTTGGGGCCCTCAAGCCGAGTATGCATAGCTCGTTGTCCACTGCAGGGAGAAAATATCAGATAGAAAAACAGGAAAATTGACCTGAGCTTCACCCAGAGTAACTTCCTATGAAATCTGGCACAGCCAAAACCATTAATAAACCACACATCTAAACACACTGACGGTGCTTTGCTAAAGCAGACCCAGCCTTGGCGCTTGTTGTTCCCGAGTTAGCAGTTCAACAAAAGGTCAACTTCTGACTTAAAGGATCCCTGAAATACCCTTATTTCCTCAAAGATACCAGTGGGGCTACGGGCTCACCCAGACTGACCCCTCTTCAAGCAGCCCCAGGCTTCTCTGCCTGCCTGGCCCTGTCCGAAGCATGTGCAGTGGAAGCTGGTGGCAGCCACCCCTCATTGGGAAACCAGCCTGCTGTCTGTAATTGCCAGCCTTCTTGTCACTAGTCACTCGGCTCTCCTTCCCAAGGACAGGCCCGCTGCCCTCTGACCCTGAGCATCTCTGGTTGCTGTCTTGCAGTTGCTGGCAGCTAGCTGCTCCCACACCCAGTCTCCAGGACCAATTTTACTTCCTGGTCCTCCCAGAGACCCTCCAGAACCACGCTGACAGCAGGGTCAGCTGCCAGCCGTGGTGGTGTGGCCAGGTAAGCACTGGACTGACAGCTGCAGGCCTGTGGCTCCCCCCACCAGCCACTCCTGGGGAGAAGATTTACACTCTCAGAAGCCATGGCTACGATGGGTCTGAATGGACTCTGGCCACTCGGCTCTCTGAGAAGCCCTGGCGGCTGCAAACAGGGTGGAGGGAGAGGAAACAGGAAGGAGAAGCAAGAACTAGGAACCAGGCCGAGCCAAGAGAGTACTCATGGTGTGTGCACGCAGCTCTGCTGGTGGGTGGGACCAGGCGGGAAATTCCTAGCTCCCCAATCTATCGGCTTCACTGGCTCGCTGTTGTTTTAAGATGACAAACTGCCAAAGGGATGAGAAACAATGACTCCCAAAACACTGACTTTGTGAAAGCCCTATTAGTCATAAGAGGTATTTTTTATCCAGAGCAATGGCTAGCATCTGTGATGGCCTAGGGAGGAGGCTGAACCCTCGGGGGCCGGGGGAAGAGCTGGGCAGGGGGTACAGGAGGCACTTACCTCCGCCGGGTCAAAGATGGCTGTGGTGACAGAGATCCTGTTGACTCGAGCAGCCTTGAGGATGATCACCTCTGCCTCGCTGAACCGGCCCTGAGAGATGAGCCACCTGGGGGACTCGGGGATGAACCTGGAAGCGCAAGGAGGCACACCGCTGAGGCGCCCCTTGCCCCGTGGTTCCCAACAGGCCAGGTAGGGGTGTACATGGAGGTGTGAAATGAAGTCTCACAGCCAGAGCCAGGCTTCGAAGGCCTGGTGGCTACAGGCCAGGAGAGGAAATGGGCCACACAGAGCATGAACTGCAGGGGCTGGCACACCACACAGCACTGAGGGATGTGCCTTGGGCTACTCACTACACGGTCAGCGCTTCAAACCCACCAACCGCTCTGTGGGAGACAGAGACGGCCGGCTGCAGCTGCAGAGAGCTGCAGGCAGCCCAGGCTTGTTCTAGCTTGGAAGTGAGTCCGTGGCAGTGGGTTTGGTTGGGCTCCAGTTGGGTTTGGTTCAGAGCGACAGACGCCCTGATGGAATTCCTAAGAGCAGTGGTGCCACCTGCTGGGCTGTTGGGAGACAGAAGCAGGGTACGCTCCTGTGCCTGGTTGCAGGGGTGGTCTCCTCTCAGCCCAGCCTCGGGCCAGCTGCACTTCCCTTCAGCCACCTCCCACCACCCACCGCCACCCCAACACAGAGCAAGCTTCCGCACCAACCTGGGGGCCTCGAGTTCCCCCTCACCCCCCAACCCCTAACCTAACCCATCCCAAAGACTTCCAGACTCTGCCAAAAATAACATATTTATCAAGGCATCTGAGTGCTCTGAACCCTTGTGGCTTATTTTCAACCTCACTGTGACTGTGCAGCCCCTCCCTCTCAGACAGGACTGAGACTCAAACTGTTATCTGTCCCTCCCCCACAGTGGCCTGAAATGCTTTCAGCTCCAAGAGGGCTCGAGCTCAGCCTCCCCACCTGGTGGGGCAATTTCTGCCTCAGCCCCTCTGCTGGTGTTCCATCCATCTCTGCCTATGGAATGGTCTGTGGAATGGTGTGCTGCTAACTGCATGGTCAGCAGTTCGAGCCCACCAGCTGCGCTGTGGGAGAAAGAGGCGGCTGTCTGCTTCCATAAAGATGTAGTTTCGGAAAGTCAAAGGGGCAATTCTACCCACAATGGCGGTGGGTTTGGGCGTGCTTGCCAAACGCCTCCATCTCAGAGGCTCAGATGGAGCCTGCTTTCCCCCTCCCCTCCCCCGCCCACTCCTACAGCCAGAACCAGGGCCATGCTCTCGTGCCCAGGGCTCCAAGGACATCCTGTAGGCCATGCTGGCTCCTGTGGTTTTTCACCACCTCCCCGAGAAAAAGAGGCTTGAGATCCACTCCCCGCTCCCCCCAGAAACAGTCTACACTTCCTGTCCCTGTGAGCCCAAATAGGGACTTGTGAGTTGCTGCTGCCCTCTAGCGAAGGCCAGAGAGGACCACTGTGGTCACAGGCCACACTCACCACCAAAGCGCTAAGCACAGTGCCCCCGGCACCGTCAGCGCCAGCAGCAGCATCCGCCAGTCTCGGATGAAGTAGGCAAACAGTGGCAGCAGCATGTAGCCAATGGAATAAAATATGCACACTCCTAACGTGGAGAATATAATGCGGGCTGACTTGCCAAGAATTTCTGTTCCTGTTCAAGACAAGGGAGGAGTCATGTTAGCGTTTATTTCCTTCACCCCCTTCTATGGTTTCATTCTCAGCAAGGGGACATGAGAGTGGTGGGAACTATGTCTAGGGTCCTAAACCCTCAGGAGGGGGCTGGATTCTGAATCCAGCCCAGGCTGACCCTCCCCTGGGGACATCTTGGTGATCCCTTGGGTGCCCCAGTGACAGATGTGTCATGAAATGTCACCAATTTCCAATGCCACATGCTAAGGCAGTCCCCTGAGGGCCCGAGGTTAAGTCACACAGGAGGAGTCCCTGAGGGTGAACTCAGGGCCTTGGCAGCAACCGCTGACTGTTATCTATTACAGGGGAGAAGAAAATCAGATCCTCTGAACAATGGACCTTACTCCTCCCGTCATGCCTCCCTCTTTACCCTGCCCTAGATGGTGGTGGGCCCTTCCCATAGACCACCTTTGGTGAGTTCTAGTAAAATTACCCTTAAGTGGCTGCAAGGCCAGGGTGCTACACGACAGAGGCCAGAGAAGATCTGGGACCCAGTAGTCAGGCTACTGCTGGGGTGATGCTGGGGACCCCGGGTGGTCACTGGCCTGCCTTCGGTTTCCCTGCCTATGAGTGAGGGTCACCAGGAAGTCCTGGTCAGTGTTGTTAGAGACCACTTCCCATTTGAGGGACATCATGGCTGTCTCCCTGAAAGTGGGGGGTGGGATGACGGTGAACCACAGGATCAAGTACTCAACTCTAACTTGATGGCCATACCCAGGACAAACGCTGCCACGTAGTTGGAGATCTGGCCCATGCCTACGATGAAGAACAGCACAGCATACATCTCAAAGTTGGTGGAGAAGACCTGCAGGAAGCTGAAGCCCGTCTGTATGCCCATGGTCACAAACAGCACCTTCTTCCGTCCAAATCTGGGAAGAGAGCAAACGGGAATCATCGGAGCGAAGATCCAGGGATAGACCTCATGGGGCTTTCCCCAGAACCCTCAGGGAGGGAGCATAACAGACCACTCTCCCCAACTCCGTGCCATGACTTCCTTTGCACACTCCCCAGGATGAGCACGCAGCTGGGAACCAGGGCGGCCTGAAGGCAGTGCCACAATTCTGATACTGTCGCTGATAGGTTTAAACCCATGTATCCATAATAGTACACACAAAAATTTAAAATTTCAACTGTGGAGGCAGGTAGGGGAGCAACGATGAAAACTGGCAAATAAAGGAAAGGCACATTTGTCTTCACTCTCTTACATCAATTCTGTGGACAGTAGCCAATAATCGACAAAGGTAAGTGGCACTTTATTTCAAAAACTCCTTAACTATTAACTAGAATTGGAAAACTACCATTTTACAATGAATGAATAAACTTTACACAATAATGTCTGCTAACGTCATGAACAGAGACAGCCACGCATTGCCTGTCTTACAGTTTTGCCAAAAAGGATCGAACCTGAAATCGAGCAAGCCTCTGGATCCAGCTGCCAATTTGCAAGAAATACAGAGAAATATGCTGAACCACACCATGAGGGTGCAACCAGCAAAACCCAGACTGAGAAGCTCTCCTGGTAACATGGGTGGGGTTTCTCAACAGATAAAACTACCAGGCAAAGAAAGGGATGCAGGAAGAATCCATTAGGTTGAAACAGATTAAAGGGCACGTGAAAAAAGGCTACGTGGGCAAGAATAGACTTGCACCCCACGACAAACAATTGGGCAATGACCCTGCAAAACACCCACAAGAAATGACTGTTCTAAAGCCAGGACAGTGGCTATTTAATGGGGAAGGAGGGCCTTGTTACTGGAATGGAGCAGGTGGATGTGGCTTCTCTGTGGCCAGCAAAGCTCTATTTCTAGACTTGGTGGCAGTTACATGGTTATTTGCTTTGGAAAAATCCACCTGATAGCCCTGGTGGCACAGTGGTTGCAGGGCGGGTTGCTAAGCCAAAGGGCAGCAGTTTGAAACCACCAGGCGCACTGCGGAGGAAAGCTGTGGAGAGCGAGCTTCTCTACCGTGTCTTCCCACAGAGGCAGTCAATTTGATTTCCGTGTTTTACATCGGGAGAAGTCTAGGAGTATAGCTGCCATCTGTGTTGTTGAAAAACTGTATGTGCAATGAAAAGGTCGTTGGTCTTACCAAGACCCTATTTCCCAACTGCTGTTCCGTGTCGTCATTTCCTACTTTTGTATTCCAATTGCTAATTATTAATGCACCTTGATTGAATGCTTGATCAACTTCAGATTGAATGCATTGGTAGAATTCTTCAATCTCACCCTCATTAGCTTTAGAGGGTGGTGTGTGAATCTGAACAATAGTTATATTGACTGGATTTCCTAGCATGCAAACATAAATATCATGCTATCACAGCCAGCATGGTAATTCAAGATAGATCTTGAAATGTCCTTTTTGATGAGGAATCCAACACCATTCCTCTGGAATCTGTCGCTCCCAGCATGGCAGACCATGTGATTTTCCAATTCACCATTTCAGCTAACACCTAGAATATTGATCTTTATGCATTCCATTTAGTTTTTGAAAACTTGCAATTTTCCGAGATTCCTACATCGTACATTCTAGGTCCTGGCTATTAACTGATGTTTGCAGTGGCTTCTTCTCATTTTGAATCCTGCCCCATCAGTCCTGAAGGTGTGACTCCTGCAGGCTTTGCTCCACCCACGCCACCATGGTCCACTCTACGTTGGGAAGAAGGCAGCTCTTCCTGTCTTATTTGGTTGCCTTCCCACCTGGGGGACTCATCTTCTGGCACTGACTCCAACCATGCTCTGCTCGTATTCATGAGATTCTCAGTATCCGACCATGTCTGATGCTGTCCATAAGGCTTTCCATGGCGACTTCCTCAGAAGTAGTAGGTTTTTCTCAGTCTGAAAGCTCTGCTGAAACCTGTTCACTTTGGGTAACCCTCCTGGTTTTTTAAATACCAGGGATATAGCATCCAAGTCACACACACACACACAAAGCCACTGCAGTATGACAAACTGACCGACAGTGGTGGCCTAGGGTCACCAAGGGCCTTGATTTAGTCTGCATGATCAAAGGTGTGGGTGGGGGGGTGTTTCACACTGTCAGAGGAGCACACTGTGGCTGGAGGGGCGGTCTGGCTGGCATCAGCTCTACAATTCAAAACGGGAGAGGTGGGAAAAAGCCCAAGCATACAAGACGCGCAGCCACGTTCCGGAGTTTGAGGGAAGATGGCGTGGTTTGCACTTTGAAGAGATTCCTCTGCTACAGTATGCAGGAGAGCGCGAGGGAGCATGCGTGGGCCCACACTGCTCACAGGGAGGCTGGAGCAGTGGCCCTCCTGAAAGAGGAGAGCCGCTGAAGGCAGCGAGGACAGACAGCAGCAGAGGGTTTGAGAGCTCATTCGGAGATCAGTTTAGTTACACTTGGTGGGGCGGAGAGAGGGGAGGGGTTGAAGAGATTCCCAGGTCTCTGGAGGACATGGTTGCACAGCATGGGTGCTAGGGACAGTCTTCCTCAGTGATGCTGCCCTAGATTTGCAGGCCTAATCCCCATCTTCCATGTAGCATGGGGACCTGGCAGCCTTCACCACGGAGGAGCTGCTCCAACTGCCTCAAGCTCCTAAGAGCAGTGACATGGGTTTACTGGCTACAGGCAGCCAGCAGAGCACAGCCACAGTCCCACACTGCCTTCGAAGGGCCCTCACAGGACACCAGAAGAGGGAGCTGGCTCCGAGTCAGGTCTGCAGAGCCCCCCACTGTTTGTGCCCAAGAAAGTGAGATCGAGAGTAAGTACTGCTTGCCAGCCACGGGTTGGCCTTTCTGGGGCCAGAGGCATGCCGGGAACATGCCGGGCACCTCAGAGCTCTAACTTCAGAAGTCAGGGGTGATGAAAGTGGAAGGGCGGGGCTGACACCTGCAGGCCAGCATTTGAAAAAAGGCTCCGGGCATTTTTCCCAAGCCCTGGGCGGGCACCAGACCCGAGGCTCCCTCCAGCAGCCTGGCCTCCCCCTGGGGCTGCTCTGAGGTAAGGCCGAGGGTGTGTGTGCTGCCCTGAGAATCAGAGACACCCCTGGAACTACATCCTCTGGGCAGCATAGCTCTGTTGAGGTCCAAAGCAGAGGTCAACACCAGTGGGTTTCCCAAACGCCTGTGTGTGAGCCCAGTACTGAGCAGAAACATGCTAAGGGCAGATTCCACTTTCTCTAGTGTTCTTAGCTTTCTAGCACAGTTCCTCATCGACAGACAGAGGAGAGAAAAATAAAACCCACCCTCTCTGGGGCTTACCTTTTCACCCACTGCGTGGTCGCTGCGGTCTCAGTCCAGTCCCATGGCCCTGGCCTTCCTGGGGACTGGAAGGGGCCAGAATCCTACAGAGCAGTGGCTTTCCAACCGACTGGGGGCTCTCGGGGCCCTTTCTCATACCTCCCGTTTTTTAATCTACTTCTTACATTGTGCTCCCCAGGGTCATTTTAAGGAGTGTAGAAGTCACCAGTCTGATCCAAATCACCTGCCTTTTCTAGCTGGGGAGCAAGCTGCCTCCTTGGCTCTAGAAAACAGGGCCTGAGGTATTAGGGGAAGCTCTCCAAAGATAAGATCCTCCTCTAGGGTAGTGGGTCTCACTGGGGAGGGGGCCGTCTTGTCCCGGTTTGGGGCATTGTTGGTTGGAAGAGGTTGGTCATGACGTGTAGTAGGTATAGTAGGTGAGAACCTCCAGGGCATCCCTGCCAAAGCAAAGAATAATCGATCTAGCCCCAAATGTCAATAGTGACATTTTTCTGACTTTTCTTCTCAAGGGCTCCCGGGGAGGGGAGAGGAGGGAGAGGTCCAGGGAACCTTTATACGGTGCCAGCCCTTACAGCTTGGGCTTGGAGTCAGAGAGGCGCTCCCTTTGCAAGTCTACCAAGGGAATGGCAAATACATACACGCCTAGCCACAAAACCCCAACAGCAATTAGCCGTCCACTTCTGCTCAGGGCTGTGCCCCCCTCATAATTCAAGGACATAAAGAGAAACCTATTATGTCCAGCAAAAGGCTTTGATAACTCAGGGCTATTGCTAGGGCTCTCAAATTTCAAGCTTATTAATATGCCAGCAAGAAAGCCAAACCTTTGCCCTACATAAAGCTATTGTTGATCTCCTAGACGACAAGTTGAGGGCAGGAAGTATGCTGTTAGTGGTTGGTTTGGCTTAGGGTTTAGAGCTGGCTTACTCCGAGCAGAGTTCAGAAGGAGCCAGTCTCGCAGAGCCGGGAGCAGACAGAGCAGCTGTCCTCTTAGCTCTTGCGCTCACTACACTCAAGGGACCTTTCTTAAAAGCAAGGCATCTGCTGCCAAAACTTAAAAAGAAAAAAAACATGAAAGGCTCAATGGTACCGTACTAGTAGTCCTTCCAAGTATTAAGGCCTTCAACAGCTTTATGGCTTTTGTTTCCATGTTTTCCTTGAGAGGAGACCTTTGGGGACTGAAACACGTCCCTCAAGTAATCATGGTCTGACATGGTCCTCAAGTTCCCAAGTGAGCCCACGCCACAACTGACCAGGAAAATACACTGGGCTTGCCTCTCCTTGTCTTCCACATCAGGGGAATTCTTTTGAGCGTTGGCTGCTACTCAACCCCATGAAAGAGAGCTTCCCACCACCTCCCCTGGGAAGGCCTAAGCTCAACCTGGGTCCCTTCTCTCCTGGCTCTGCAGGCAACGTGCGGGCTCTGGTGAGTGTTCTTTGCACTGAGCATCCCAACCGTGTTTCTCCAGCACAGACCTCGCGTGGCCCGCTGAAAAAACAAGGCACTGCAGTATCCGAGTTGATGCTGATTCTCATCACCTCAGATTGAGTATGTTCAAAATGAATTTAACCTCTTCTTCCACATATCTGGTCCCTCATAGTGAGAACACCAGTGTGCGCCTAGTCGTCCACCAGATGTCTCCCTCCAGTCCCCCAGCACCACATTCCAACCACCAGGTCGCCTTGGGCTTACTTGCTGCTATTTCTGGCCATCTCTAGCACTCCCAGCCTCCTCCAAGCCACCATCAACTCTTACATAATTGACTGGTGATGGGCTCTTAACTGGTCTCTCCACAGGCCCTCTGGCTTCCCTGAAGTGCGTTCTCCACAAGTCCCCGAACCCACTGCCATCAAGGGGATTCCCACACACCGGGGCCCTACACGGGGCTTCCAAGACTGTCAATCTTTAAGGGAACATACAGCCCCATCTTTCTTCTGTGAAGCAGCTGATAGGTTTGAACCACCAACCTCGCAGGTAGCAACCCAGCACTTGATCCCAGAGCACCCCTAGGGTTCCTTTTCTCCACAAGGTTGCTGAATGACTAAGGAATTCGATTCTGCTTATGTTTATCCTACTTTTAAAACCTTCTGCTCTGTGACTAAGCCCAAACTCCTTACTGGGATATTCTCAGCCTTGCCTGCTTTTCTACTTCTGGCCTCTGCCCCCTCCGCTGTCTTCATCTCCATGCCCCTCACACAATGGGCTCCTTCCCTGCTCCTAATGTGAGCCATCCTCTGCTTCTGCTGAGTCGAGGTTTCGGCCACATGCTATTCTCTGTGCCCGGAATATGCTCTTTCCTCTCACCAATCACGAGAGCTGGTTATTTCTACTCATCTGCCAAACTTGAGCTCATCCTTCACTTACTCGGGGATGCCTTCCCTGGCATCCTCTGTTAACACGGCATACTGCCCTTTGCCACTTACTCTGATGAAGGGTAACAATCTCTTCCTTTGTTCATTGTTTTGTACATTCTGCCTCGCTAGAAGGAAATTCGAACACAGCGGTGACCCGGAACAGTAGTCCACATAAAATAAAAGAAGAGTTATGATTAGGGGCTCTGGGTCAAGATGATCTGGGTTCAAATCCCAGACCTTGCTAGCCGTGTGACCTTGGGATTTCATTTTCTACCCCTGTACACATAGCTCCTACCTCACAGGTGATGAGGGTTCACCTGGTTTCCAGTTACCTAGAGATCATGGCAACGTCTGACACTATGAGGTACTGTTGTTGTCAAATGTCACAGAGTTGCTTCTAACCCACAGTCACCCAGTCACCCCACGGACAACAGAACAAACACCGCCTGGGCCTGAGGCCTGCTTTCAGTGGTTAAGCCTTGCAGCTCCTTGTTGCAGCCATGGTGTCGATCCATCCATCCCCTCGACAGTCTGCCTCTTTTCGCTGACCCTGAACTTTCCCAAGGATGCTGTCCTACTCCACAACAGGTGTGAAGCACGAGGCAGGCTCTGGCCACTTTTGTCTCTAAGGAGCATCTGGCTGCACTTCTTCCAAGACAGACTGGTTTGTTCTTCTGGCGTCCATTGCATGTTCGATATTCTTCGCCAACACCAGAGTTCAAATCCATCAACGCTCCCTGGGTTTTCTTTATCCATTGTCCAGCTGTCGCTGCAGGCGAGGTGACTGATCACGTGGGCCAAGCGTATCTCAGTTCTCAACGTACATCTTTGCTCTGGAACACTTTTTTTTTTTAAGCTGAAATTTTAAAAAATCATTTTATTGGGAGGGCTCTTATAAATCTTATGACAAATTCACCATTCCCTGGTATTAAGCACACTTGTACATTCGCTGCCATCAACATTTCCAGAATAGTTTCTTTCTCCTTGAGCCCTTTGAGCACTTGAAAGAGGTCTTCTGCAGCAGATTTCCCCCGTGCAAAATTTGATTTTGATTTGATTTGATTTGATTTGATTTCCTGACTGCTGCTTCCACGGGCGTGGATCCAGGTGAACTGGAATCCTGGATGACTTCCGCCTGCTTTCTGTTTATGGGTCTGGTTGTGAGGACTCGTTTTTGTGCTGAGATGCCATCCACACCGGAGGATGTAGCCTTGCTCTTCATCAGTAAGTGCTTCAAATCCTGTCTTCCGCCTATCCTGATGCTGTGCTCTTACTCGGAGGACCCAGCTTCTCCAGCTGCTTGCCCTATGAGGTGCTAGATGTTGGTTACATACATGCTAATAATCAATGAATGCGTATTACTAGAATGAGGATCTGTGGGAGCAATGACGAAGAATCATCAATCAGTGATCAGGCCTACTGAACTCTTCTGCTTACTGGTGGACTGTAGACATGTCCCCCACTTTCAAATCGGCAGCTGAAACTCTAAAAAAGACAAATCTAGTGAGAAAGCCATACACGTTGTATGTCAAGACAGAAAGATGCTAACTTACCACCCTGAGTTTGCATTATAGGATAAAATGGTTTTATCCTTCAGGCAGGATGACATTTCCACTCTGAACGCCTCTGTCAGAGACCGACTGGGAGCATGCTGGGCCTCCTCTCCGCTGGTGGCCACCGAGTCTCTGGATGTCCTCAGATAGCGGCCAATGTAGCTCTTTATAGGTTCTTTTTCCCTCCAGAGACCCCACATCAGGAAGACAGCATCATGGACTCCTCTGAAAACTTCAGGAAAGCAATGGACTTTCTCCAGAAAAAAAGGCTCAAATACCTCATTTTGAAAATTCTACATATAATTCCAAGGGTTTACCATTATTGGACCTTGACTGAAAAGTCTTGGCTTTAAACAAATAACGCAGTTGTGAGAAATGGGTCAAAACAGCATTCTTCTTCCTCGTTAGTGCCGCCCCCACAGGCATCTTAGCTTGGGGTGGTGGTGGGGTGGTGGTGAGAGAGGATTCTGCCCATCACTTCACTCCTGGCTGGTTGAGATCTCCTTGCACCCTGTGCTGTCAGCGGTTCTTGGCAATGGAGAGGCAGCCACTTGTGGCAACCTCAAGGATCTCCAGTACAGTGTATGTGCAGGTGGTGTCAGCCACCCCCACACTAGAGGACACAGAGAGATGCTTCACAAAGGCCATTTGCCTGGGAACTTTTGTGACGCTCCCTCACGTTCTCTGGTCACTTGGACCATGGATGCCCTTGGCTTGGCGGGTTGATTTCTTGGCTCAGAAAGGAGTGGGGAGTGGGGAGGGTGGGGGCTCTAGCATGCAGTCGAAAGGAAGGCCAGGGCACCGCTTTCTCGTGCTTGTGAAAAACAAGCCGCTGGGCTGAGCACACACAACCAACTGAAGCCAAAGGCTAGGCACACATGCTCCTGGTTCAGTGCTGGGGTCCCCTGCAGCTGCAGAAGACAGGCACCTTACCTGTCCGAGAGCTGCCCTGAAACGAAGGAGCCCACCAGCACACCCACGAAGAACAAGGAGATGGTCAACGGGCCCTTCCAGTCGTCCTGACACACCAGGTTCCACTGAAAGAAGAGCAGAGGGATTATCAGGCACTTCTTTTTCAAACAGTTTTGAATTCTATGGTTTCTTGGAAAATTCCATTTTTCCTGGAAAACAATATTCCAAGTTGGGTGTGTCAGTTCACGTAAGCAGTGACTCGCTGGGGGTAGCAGGTTCCCTCTCAAAGGGCTAGAGGGCTCTTCCCCCATCCTGTTTTTCATAGCTTGCAGCCCATTGCCTTCTGTCCAATTTGAGGGCAGGGAGAGGGCCCAGGCAGGGCACACGAGAAAAGGCGGCTTTCTCCCGCTTGCTTTGAGGAGTCTGAGTGGAGCCCAGGGCTCCATTGCTCAGGGAGTTCAAGAGTGACTCCAGGCTTCTAAGAGTCAACGCATCCAGCAGGGACACTGGGGCCAGGGGCTCTACCCAGCCGGTTCCTGCAGCTCTGCTCAGGCCCCTACGCTGGGACCCGAGCCCTTTTGGTGACATCTTGACTTGGAATCCTTGACTGCTCACCCACACTTGGGCCCAATCATGGTAGAGTGCTTCGAGCTGGGAGTCCGGAAACTAAGATCTAGCTTCCATTCTAGTGGCAACTTCAGGGTTTTCCCTCAGTACCTTGATTCCCCATTTGTAAAACCAGGGTGGGGCCCGGCAGCACCCTCTAAGTCGCTCCCCACTTAGTGAGCAGGAACAGGAAACAAGGCCTGCTTGCCGGGGACCGACACCCAGGCCAGTAGACTGGCCCAGATTTCACAGGGAGCCAGAAGAAGGAAGAAAAGCAGAAATGGAAACGTAGTGCTTCCCAGTCAAACCCTTCTCAGAACAGTGAGGTGGAGCTGAGCAGCTACTCACAGGCACCACCACCCTCTGGGAGAGCCAGAACCCTGCTGGGCTGGTGCCGGGCGGGCGGCAGACAGACAGTGGACCTGCCCAAGGAACCCGTGGCCTTCCCTGAACCCAGTAACTAAGGCAGGGGTGCCTGGCCTCCTCTGGGCCAGCGCCAGCTACATGCATGTCCTGCTGTGGCAGCATGCACACACAACCTGGGGGAGGGCTGTGGGCGCAGAACCTCCTCCCAGGAGCCTCCGGCTCTTCGGGCTCTCCACACCAGACTGAGCATGCCACGAAGAGGCTGACAGAGGGGTGGCAGTCCCCACCCAAGAGAGGAGTTGGGGTGCCCAACCTCCTAATCCAGAGTTAGCCCAGGTGGTCAGAGTCCAGAGTGCCCTGGGGTTGAGTGCACAGACTATGGCAGGCCGCCCAGCGAGCAGGGGCCCAACCGACCTTAAGCAGGCGCCCCAGGCCCCACCACCCCAGGTCTCAGGTAGGTGGAGAAGTGCCCCTGAGGTGGGCTCCACCCGGGCAGGGCTGCTCCCTTCAAGAAGAGTCCTGGTGGGGAGACAGCTGGGGGAAGCCAGGCATGGCACTTCCTCTTCCCTCCCCCACCGCCCTGGGTGCAGGCCTATGCAGATGTGGTCTATTGTATAATTTGCATCACCCACGAGGAAAGAAAAAATTGAAACAAGAAAAGAGGCTGGAGCTTCTGCAGCAAGTCCTGGGGTTATAGCCACCTCCCTCCTCTAGCTCCGGTTCCCAACACTGGGCTTCTGGAGAACCCTGAGCTGTAACCACACAGCGGTAGGCAGGGGGACTGCAGTGTTGGCCTTGGGACTTTTTCCTCAGAGCACCCTCTTGGGTTCCTGCAACCTCGCCTCCCCGGGGCATGGCATTGGGCCCTCGGAAAGCAAGCGTGTACTGACTGTGTCCTGCCTGGGAGTGGGGTCCAGAAAATCGAGATTGCTCCAACACCGGGGCAGGCAGGAAGTGGCTCATCCTCCCTGCCATTTGTTGGCTACCAGCTAACTTGCAGGAGGTGCCAGGACCGGGCCTGCGCCCCCCTGAGGAAGGGTGGGATAGGATGCCTACAGAGGCTAGGCTGAGCCCCCTCTACATAATACAGTCATGAAAGTACCTAGCACTCCTCCTGGCCTGGCTTCCCCGTGGTAACAACAGCAGCTGTTATAGTAAGGTGACCAGATTTAAAGCGGGACACCATTGACTGGCGGGGGTGGTAGGGGGTGAGGGTGGGGGTGGTGGGTGGTGTGTTCTTGATGAAAAATTTGGTCTATATGGACCAAATAGACCATTCCCTAGCTTGTTGTGCATTCTTTCCAAAAATCAGGACTTTTTTTAAAACGCCAAAAATTGGGACTGTCCTGCCAAAAGCGGGACATCTGGTCACCTTATGTTATAGAGCAGTTCCTTGATGCTTCCACTTGGTGAGGGGCTGGCCCTGGCTGTTGACAGGGACCCATGTGAGAGTGGATGCGCGGGGCATGTGCTCTGTTTGCGAGTCACTCCACAGCTGAGTGTGTTGTGAGAGCCCCAATCAGTTGCTGCTGAGTTGGCCCAACTCCCTGAGCACCCAGGCTCAGCGCAGGGCCGTGCCCCACAGGGGTGGGTGCTCAATGGCTGTGAGCGCCTGGCATCGCCAAGGGGGCTCGGGGGACTCTTGACTTTTCTTCGGAAGTGCCTCTGGGCAGATATAACCACCAACCTTTCAGTCAGTAGCCCAGCTGAATCTTAACCACAGGCGTCATTCAGGGACTTTGACTGAGGGCACAGGCCCAGCCCCACCAACTCTGAGAAGGGGCCAGCCGTGTGCTCAAAAGCATGCCTTTCTAGCGGCCAAGGTTTCGGGGCACATACATGTGTCAAAGTGTTTCAAATTGCATACTTCCACTATGTGCAGCTTATTGTATGTTGATCATCTCGTGAAGCTGTGAAAAGATGGAAAAGGGAGAGAGCTATACCGCTAGCACTAACTAGTATGTAAGGTGGGAAATAGGAGAGAGGACCTCTCGGCTTCTTCCTGAAATGGGTCTTGCCTGACCCCATACAAGGGTCAAACATGCCAGTTGGCACTGCAGGGGCGTGAATGCCATCTTGTCTGTCTCCTGCTGCATTAACGGTGGCCCTATTGGAGCCTCCCCTTGAGGCTGTGGGGGCAAGGAGGTGCCACCACTGTCCCAATAATGCCTCACTGCCCATCCTGAGCTGGATTCGGGAGCTGCTTGGTGCCCGGGTGAGTGTGTGACTGACTGGAGGAGAGTGCTATCATGGCTTCTCTGGCTTGTGAAGGCCCAGCCCACGCTCCAGGTCTCTGGGCTCTCCACCTGGAGTCAGCCCTGACTCTACCTCCCGGCCTGGTGAGCCTTTTCCTTCGGGCAGACTTGTGGGTAACAGCGGGACTCTCCCATCTCCCAAGCCTGTGTCTGCATGAGATGGGCTGATGGTGTAGAGAAAGAGGCTTTCCAGGGAAATTCGGAGGAGTCATAGTTCTGCCAGGGACTCAGAAGGGCAGACAGACAGACAAGAACACGCAGAGGCCTGCCAGCTCTTAGTGGAAAGAGCCCCAAGTCATGGGTGCTAGAGGAGTTCGATGTTTCTAAGGAATCTTTCTAGATGCAGACTGGGCAGGGATATGATGTGATAAAATGTCAGCTGGCCTGTCAACCTGAGAAATCACCCACGTTCCCTGAGGAGCAGCATCCTGGGTGCAGAAGCTCACATGAACTGGAGAAGCACTCCAGGTGGGGTGGGCGATTCCCCAGAGTACCGGGAATGGTGGAGGGGCCAAAAGGGGAGGGCAGACCTACTCGAAGCAAGTGGACCACCCAGCTGTTTCTGAAAAGTGGGGCACAAACCTCTTTTACCTCACAGTATCCCCTTCTTTCTGTCAACCCCAAGACCTTGTTTCCAAGTGAACAGGGCCAACCCATGGTCATTGGGATGGGGGATTACATTTCCTTGACAACATTTCAGCCCATTCTTTCCAGCCAACCTTAGATTTCCTTTCCTGTAAATTAAGATGTCCTCTTGAGCTACTTAAACTTTAGAGAAGATTTCTTTAAGTAGCCACTCAAGGCAATTTCTCCTGTTTCCCTCTGTATCCGGCCTGATGACAGGAACTGTGGAGATGCAAAGATGTATATTTAGCACAGTGTTCAATTCTACATGTACGTACTTCAACTGTAACAAAGGAAAATAAAATTGGACAGGCGACGTAAGGTGTTAATCTTCTTTTGGAAACAAGGCTTTAAACCAGTTTGAACCAGTTCAGCTTGAAGCAGTGAAATCAGAACAGGTCCAAATCTGTAATATGTAGGTGAATGGTAATAATAAGCAGAAATGGAAAAGTTACAGGTTCGGGATTGCTATCAGGATACTGGTCTATTGCCAGGACTGTGGAGAGCAGCGTGGTTGGCAGCCATCTTTGAACTGGACATCACTATTTCTGCCTCAGCCCTTTGGTTGCTATGCAACAAACACTGCCCTTGTTTTCCAAGACAGAGACAAAGTTTACAGCAAGGTATTAAGTTAACCTGTGGTTTTTTTCTTCCTGTTTTGGTTATTGTTCTGGCACAGCCACATTTGGCCATTTCGGGTCCGTTCTGGTTTTACTGGGTCAGCCAGCTATAAAGAAAATAGTACAACTGAGAGATAAATAAAAACAAAGACAAAAGAAAAAAAAAAAAAAGAACTGGTTTGGACCCCTGGATGAAAAGCATGAATAAAAACTCACAGCCAGTGTGCTCCCAAACACACGGCTGTATGATTTGGACAGCCAGCAGACTCGGAGACATGAAGCAGGCACCAGAGCAGATGCAGTGGATAGCAGGCCTGGTCTGGTTGGAAAGAAAGTGGGCCTTAGCAAAACAGAGCCAATTAAAATATTGATGCCAGAGACTGTTCACCTGGAAGAAACAAGCAGCCTCAGAGTCAGGCATGTCGGGATCCCTAAATCAAGGCATAAGGGAAGAATTAATTTCGCCTCACTGTCTGGATAGACAACCTTCAAGTAGGCGAAAGGGCACTGCAATCCCAACCCACCGCCCTGCCGAGGAATTGACTACCAAGTCTAGTGCCCCTGTAGACAGAGTAGAATGGCCCCATAGGGTTTCCCCGGGCTGCCAATCTGTACGGAAGCAGACTGTTGTATTGTTTTCCTGTACAACAGCTGGTGGAGTGGGTCCAAACTGCCTTTAGGTTAGCAGCTGAGCACTTCAACCACTGGGCCGGCAGGGCCCACCGAAAGGGCAGGCAGTGCTTATGGAACTGTTGAGGCAGAGATGAAAAAAAACAGAGACTAGCTTGAGATCAGTGAGTTGAAATAAAATGTGTACACATTGTTAATGTTAAATGTTGCACTGATGATCGGCTCTGTAAACCTTCACCTAATTCACAACAGAAAGTTAAACACAAACAAAAAAACAACCCAAGACATCTCAACAACAACACAATAAAAAGTAAAGATTGGCCGGGGGAGGACTGTAGCTCAGGAAGCCCTCTAGCACATGCAGCTTTGGGGAGCTGGCAGGATGGGGTCAAAACGTGGGGGCCAATGGCTAGAGTTGGTGGAGGAGCCCTTAGGGATCAGAGTAAATCCAAAGAGATGCCAGGAGCGGCTTCTGACTTCACTGCCTGCAGGCCTACACACACACACACACACACACACACACACACAAAACCCCCATTTGGGCTGCCGGAATATTGACAGACTCCTCCATGGAGGAGTCTGACTATAACTCCAGGGGCAGCCTGCGCTATGACTGCTCTAACTGGCTCCCAGGAAGGTAAAAGACCACCTTATGAAGCTAGGAGCCAGGGTTCTAATCAACTGGAGTCTCTGTGAACTCTTGCACAGAGCCCTAGTGGGGAGGGTGGTTGCTGCTATGTACAAAGTCAGCAGTTCAAAACCACTAGCTGCTCTGAGGGACAAAGACCTGGCTTTCTACTCCTGTAAAGAACTACAGTCTCAGAGACTCACAGGGGCAGTTCTACCCTGTCCTTTAGGGTCACTCTGAGTCAGCATCAACTCAGTGGCAGTGATCTGAACCCTGAGTTCACATGCACAGTCTGCTACCTCCGCTCACTGCTCTGGCCCCAAGCCTAATGGGCCATTTCCTCTTTTTGGTCAAGTAATGATGCCTTCAGACACTGCAATGGTGTCACTAGCTAGGGAATGACAGGTCACACTCCTACTACATGTATGTAGAGTATGTGCATCCACACGCACACACACTCACCCTCACGAGTGAGTCTCTAGGGGCAGCTATCAGACCTCCATGGGTGGTAAAGGTCCCCAGAAGCAAGAGTCTAAGCTTTCTGGGCTCTTTGAGGCTCTGGGAGGCAACCTTTATACATGCTTCTAGCCCCGGTCTGATGGCATCCCAGGGGCTGTGGCACCTTGACCTTTAGCCCCCTCCTTGTGAACCCTGACCTTCTGCTCTGCTGAGCTCCATGTAGTTCCAGATCTCAAATATTTGTGGGTCTTCTCTCATCAGTATTCTGGGGCAGATTCAGGCCAGAATCACTGAGAAGGCCCCTTCTACCGGCAGCCTTCCCTGATCCATGAAGCCAGACAGAGGCAGGCCTGCTGTGAACTCCACGCACCCCATGTCTCTTCTGTCTTGGTGCACACCATGGAGGCCCAAGGCTGCCTTCCCTTGGGTTACCTGCCCTCCTAGCCAATGTGCACTTTGAGTGTGGCCTGTCACCAAGCAGGCACTGACACCTAGTGAGTCCAGCTGCCCTGGTCCCTCTCCTAGAGGTACTGCCTCTGAGGCTAAGGAAGGGTCCTATAAGGAGTAACTGGAAAAGGAAGCGGAACTCACTGCCACAAGTTAACATCCTGACTCAGAGCAACCCCATAGACAGGGGTGAGCTGCCCTTGCGGTCTCGGAGTCTGTCACACTTTACCAGAGTAGAAACCAGCCTCTTTCTCCCAAGGGCCAGCTAGTGGTTTCCAACTATTGACCTTGCCTAATTCAC